TTGAAAAATCTTCCAGAGGTTATTAATGTCGTCGTGTCCAGGTGTTCGCGCCGAGGTTCCGCGAGCCTCCACCTCCTCCGCTGGAGCTGTTTGACCTGGACGAGGCGCTGAGTTCAGAACGCGCGCAGCTCGCCCGCCTTGCTAACAAGTGTCTGCAGCCAGAGAGTGAGAAGATGGCGCAAGGTAACGTCAAAGCATCTGCACTATTTCCTTGGTCTTTTATTAGTTGACAAACAATATCTTTGGGTTTCAGCACAGTACCGTTGTAGAACTAATTATTTGCAAAGTCTGTTTATAAAACTAGGACGAATACTATCTATTTCTGTCTTCTGTTTATAAAAGTTAAAACTATGAGAGAGAACGTAAGCGAAGATATGCGTCACTAGCTAATGATTTAGGCTAGGTCTAGCTAAGGAACTGCTAATATAGTCTTCTTCTAAGTAGTTTTTATATCTCACCCTTCTTGATTATCTAGGAAGGGGGCATCCCTCTACCCCTTCTGGTAATGACCATTAACCCTCTGTAATCTAGATTTCTGCTTCTCTTTTACTTCTATTTCTTTTCTCTTCTTTCAAATCTTTCTCTTTTGTTTTTTTCTTTATTGTATACTACCTATCGCTCACGACTCCGTGCGTGGCAGTAATGAAAACAAATTAAGTAGCCTATGTCTTCCCCCAGACTATGCTCTACATCTGTGCCAATCGTCGAGATCTGTTCAGTATTTTAGGCTACAAACTCTAACAATCCATTCATCTATACCTTCGCTAATAATATTAGTGAGATATCTTCACTCTCTCCTGTTCAGGTGACAGCAGTCAGCTGGAAAGTGAGCTGGAGTACTTTATCCGTGAGTGCGGGCGCGTGGTGCGGCTGTCGCGGGCGCTGGCTGACGCGCCCTCTGCCAGAGCCATCCTTCATCAACTGATGGTGCAGTTAGCAGCCTTCAAGAAGATAGCGCCTAGAGAAGAATAGAGAACAAGAGAGAAATGTTAGTCTACTTCTTTATCGGGTTAATCGCCGAAAGAAGTTTAGAGTCGACACTTTCCATTGAGTCTAACATAGACTGAAACATTTATGTGTTCTTCTTTGTTATTTATGTTAGTGTACTTAAAAAACAATGGAGTAGGCAGAGATGTTTTTATCTGTGGACGCCCTCTGCCCCACTTTGGGGACATAGGAATAGAAGGGAGAGAGAGTGAGAGGTACATTTCTTTTATTTCAATGGTAATGCTTGTTAGGTGAAAAATGTGTAAAACTAACTGTTTTGTAATTATCTATGTAAATCTATAAGGATTGTATCCTTATATTTGAAGGGGATGATTAAGGGAGGCAACTGTCTACCCTCCCTATACCCCTCCCTACAACGCCCTTGATTATAATTACGAGTTTGTAAGATTATAACAATTTTTATGTTTGTAGAGGTTTTTTAAAATAAATAACATTGAATTGAAAAAAATTTTTTTTAAATGTGTACGAAACGCAATAATCCTCAATCTATTATAAAACCTATATCGGAATACGTTTTATTACAATTTTATAAACGTAACTTGATTGAATATTCCCAACTTATTGCATTCAAAATGAAAACTATAACACTATAAAAATCATAAAACAATTTGATTTGCCAACGGTTTTTCTGATGTACATTTGTTGCGATGTGGATATTGTTTGTTATATTACTGTGTTACAAACAGACAAACAGTCAAGCTCATGATGAATACATTAAAAACATGGCCAGAGCATTCCCAGTGCAGAAAATAATACCATTCCATCGTAATATACAAATATTAAACGCCCAGAAGTTTCTTAGAGCTCTGCCGGAAGAAATAACTCAACTAACAAAGAAATATGGTGCACCAGAAACATATACTGTCTTTCCAGCGATCCCAACGAAGAAAGAAAGGATAACATACTTCCCTATTGAAATTCTATTCGGACCAAACAGGCTAGTAAGGAAAGTACCACATCAAAGGTTACTTAACTACTCCAGGTTTAAAAGATCTGTTCTCACTAACGTAACAAAACCGAAGTCACGTCGACATAAAATAGGCAAAGATGATCAAGAATACGTCCCTGATATTGCTAGAATCGATAAAATAAATCATAAAAATCGTGTCGCAAAAGTTCGAAGTATCACAGTGACCAGTAGAACACCTAAAATTAGAGAACACAAAAAAGGGAATCATAAAAATGCATCCAAATCTGAAAGAGTTAAAAAAGGCAAAACGAAAAGACATCACGGGGTTACACGAAAGAATAAAAGAAGCCATTCAAATAAATCCAGATCTAAGAATAGAAAAGAAAGTAACAGAAGATCAGATAGGAATGCAAATCAAAAAGGTAAATTTTGATATTGTGAAAGTTTGAATAAATCTCTTTATTAATTAATGTGACGTTTTATTTTTTACCCGACTGACATAAAGATAATTTACACGCTTAATTAACCTTAGAGTCTAAACAACTGAAACTATTTTATCGAATGAGTTGTCAATCGAGGTCTTCTTCTCAAGGATGTCATAATGTCTAGTCAGTCGGGTTTTTGGTCTAAAAGTAACAAATTGTGTCATCTGATTCCCTGTTTATCAGTAAACGCAAGCCGACGTCTGCTGGCGGGTAAAGACTCGACGATAGAACAGTATCCATACACCGTGTCGATACAGAAAGGATACGAGCACTGGTGCTCTGGCGCTTTGCTCAATCAGCGCCTCGTCATCACCACAGCTAACTGCGTTTGGAAGTAAGTTAATAATTTTGAAACGGATTCAGCGTTACTTTAGATCCGATTTGAAGTCCAGAGTACTGACGTTAGAGTGACCGCCCAGGAAACTGACTAAAAGGGCATCTAAAAGCGCCCTGGGTAAGATATATACAGCACTCTTTCTTCCAGGGTGTTAAGAGTGTTGTGTGAGCGTAGTGTGCAGACCGTTTGGCTTCTTTCTGTTAGACGCTCAGTGCGGTCCTAACCACCGGCAATGTTTCTGTTCCTATCAAAGTATGAGAGTATCAGATGTTCTTGGAAGAAAAGGAAAGAAAGAATTGTACAGTAATTCTTAATAATGCTTTAGTAGTGGAAACTACTTTCCATTAAATTTTGGAACACGTTCTTTCATCATTACACGTGTTAAGTATGTATATTTTGGTCATAGGTCAATACAAGTAAGTCGTATGAAGATAAGGGCAGGATCGAAGTACTCTGACCGCGGCGGGCAGGTGGCCGGCATCCAGGAGATGATGCGGCATCCCGGCTGGAGCATCCGCCATAACCCTGATTATGACGTAGCTCTGCTACTCCTGGATAGGAACCTAAGGTAAACACAAAAAATAGGTTGAGGAAACTGAAAATATGAACGTGTACGACATATGTCGATAAATATAGGCTGAATGAGTAGATTTCAAAGATTCAAGTAAAAGGAAGTGAAGATGTGACGGCTGATAGAAATACATGGAGGAGTAATGTACCGATACCAATAAAGTAAAGGGCCATGATTTAGAATGAATCTAAATGCAGATAATTTATTTTTTAATGCTCTCTCTTGGCTTTTAAACGCACAGGAAAGATGAAATCCTCCTTTTACTGTGATTTAAGGTACGCAAAGCATCTGCAATTGAGATCTACAAGCAGAGGTAATTTCGCTGTTTCAGCTGTTGTTTATGCCATAAAATAATTTATAATTTAACAGATTCTCTCATTCACTCCATGCGGTTGATTTGCCGAACCGCTCCATGATGCCTTCCTTCAATGACGCCTGGGTCACCAGCTGGGGCAGTGACAAGGTAACATGAAATTCACACTTCCAAAGACTCTTTTTCTAAACATGCCTAAGTAAATAATGGATAGCGTACAGTCGTGGATTTCCATAGTATTCCAGACAAAGTCAGAATAACCAAGCAGGAAGTATTGAGTTCTGCAAAATACAATATTAAGACAGATTTAAAAGTTGTATCCCATTGCGTATTGTAGCTTTATGGTTTAATACTGCAAGATTCCCTGACTGTATTTGTTATTCTCTTCTATTACTTACTTC